GTCCTCTTTTGGAAGGCCAAACAAAGTACTTTTTCTTTCGCAGCAAACCACACAGTGTCTCCATGACATGGCGGCGTTTTATATGGTTTAATACTACAGCGAGAATAAAAGTTACGCCTTCTTTTTTTGCGTGAACATTTGGGCGGTGTTATGCAAATCTTCCCACATAGTGTGGTAGATATGTGGGGGCGTGTTCGAACGAGCCGTTTTAGGTAGGTGTGGCTAACTCTTAACTTTTATAAAGAATATCTCTTTGGATTTGAGACTTTAGTCTTTACAACTTTACAGATCTTCTTTATGCACCAAGAGCTTGTAACACTCCAAAGAGAAAGGAAAAAATGAAATCGCATCATATGACCCCTTTAAGTAGGTGTAGAGTGTACTGAGACAGACTTGATTAATACATTCGCATTTCTTTATGGGAGTGAACGGCCACTGTTGAGCATGTTTGATACATTTTACTTTTTCCATGGTAACAGTGATTTTTCTGATTGGTGGATCTCTTCGTAGAATTACTTGTATATTTATATCCTGAGCTGGTAGAAGTGATCAAACCTTCAGTGGAGGTGAAGAACTCCTGCAGACTTCCAGGTTTCCTCTCTAACTCCTCATACTCATGAGCTTGTATTATCATCTCCAGCTGGTCCAACTCCTTCACCAGTTTGGCTTCTGGACTGGACTGAGTCTCATAAAGAGGAACACAAAACTTGGTCCAGTTGTTTTAATCAACTCACCTCCCACAAGCTGTAAATCTCTTTCCGTAAGCCATCATCTAACAGGCCTGTGATGTGCACCATCGCTTCCTAAAGAGAAAGATTCTCAATGTTTAATGTGTACACACACAAAATATTTCAAATGTAAAAATGATCTTAAAACCATCATACCTTTTCCCTTCTGTGCTTCTCTGCTTTGCTAACATTGTCTGCTGGTGCAATATCTCCCACAATACACTCAGCCAAGTCATGAACTAAAGCCAGCTTCATGCATCTGTGGAGACATTTTAGAATAACTGTCTCTGCTTTATTTTAAATAAATGGTACAAAAAGATATTTATACATTTTGTACCATTTATATTGTTGTAGAAAGCTAATTACAAGGGTTTTAAGCATTAACCTAAATGGGTCTGGAAAAAAAGACTAGTGCACATGAATGAATCAGAACTGAACGAGAATGAATGAACGTACCTGAATCGAACGAGTATGACTGAAACAAAACGAACTGCACAAATATGAATGAATCCTAATGAATCGAACAAGTGTGAATGAATCTTAATGAACCGCACAAATGTGAACGAAACTCAATAAACTGGACAAATGAGAATGAAACTACATGAACTTCAGAAATGTGAATGATTCTAATGAACCGAATAAGTGTGAATGAGTCAAAATGAACTGCACAAGTGAACAGATGAACGGCACAAATGTGAATCAATCTCAGTTAACTGCACAATGCATAAATTAATTAACTCTTCTCTAAGCCCCGCCTTAAAATCGCTACTGACCAATCCTACCTTAGCAACTGTTTCGGAGTCGGACAAACTTTTACTCGCTTACAGTGAAGATCTGTGTGTTTGGATACATACGCAGTTTTATCGAAACTGACCAGAAATACGTTTCTTTTCCCAAACGTTACGTAAATGTTGAGAGACTCCTTCTGTGGATTAAACTGTCACCCATCCGTCATTCCCAAATAAACATTAAGAGCATCAGTAAGGACATCTACGTTCGCTCCAAGGTAAACAGTCGACATATATGCAAAAACTCCTGTATTTTAAGACCCCTCATACAAACCTTTCTTTATTGACAGTGATGTCTTTTATGGTTAAGGCCATCATAGACATTCTGTACATATGATCAGACACACTCTCAGGATGTTTGATATTCCTGTACACCCATCCTGTTCGTGGTACACGCTGTAACACAAGCAAGCGTTAATGCAACATAGGTTAACGCGCAAAACATTGGTATTAAAACGAATTTTACTTACTTTTAGCTGTCCGACTAGTTTCATGAATTGTAACATGTTGTCCATTCCGTTACATCAACCAATAGGACGCCGACGTCAGCGACCCGGATGTAAACCACAGCGTCAAGTTGCCGGTTGTTGTAATGATATGCAGCCACCACTAGATGGGGAAAGAATACAATCGAGTCGATGGCGTCTCACAAGTCAAGCAAAATCTGTAAGTACAGTACTTCAAAAATTAATTAATTAATTTTCATAAAATAAATTAACACTTGTGCTTGCAAAAAGTACAAAAGCGTGTGGTTTTTTTGGACATGTGCCATGTTTACCACATAAATACCATGAATGCTTAGTCTCTACCATGATATATTTTAAGGTACTACTATTGCCATTTGCTACCATCTGTTATGGAACTTGACCATCATTTTTATTTTTAAATTGTATTTTTATTATTCTTTTTTTTTTTTGTGCCATTTTTTTGTCTGCTCACTACTCAAGTCAAGTGTCTATGGGAAACATCATTGTAATATAACTGACAAAAACACAGTATTTGCTTTCTTTTATCATTGATTAAAATCATGTGCTTCTCAAATTTTAATCATTTAACCATCTTGTGACTGTTCATTCTCAAAATCATTCTTCCCTCAGTTGTTTTGGCCTTGACATACACTTTGTCTACAATGTTTCCTTAAAGTATGTGAGTGGGATTGAGAAATGCCCACTTCACCATGTGCACATTCCTCAGAGAATACAAAACCAAACTGATTCAAGGTTAATACAGGAAATGTAAAACTTAAATTTTGTGCTTTGTACCGTATACAATATGATATAGATTTAACCACAATCATTTTAAGTTTCATTATACATTGATAAAATGCAAATGAGGGTCTTCAGACAGTGTTGTATGTGAGGCGGCTGACACATTATTTACAGGATATGAGTCTCTTCCTCATGCAAATCTTTTTTGGGGGCGTGTGTTTGTAGTGACAGATATAGCTTTTATTCTGTGATGGTCATCTTCCCCTACCTAAGTCACTGCTTTTTCTCATGACACTGTTTCCTGGAGGTATGGTCTATTTGTAGAGGGTGTAGACAATACATCCTGCTCGTTGGTGTTCTGGTTATCACTTCTTGAACATCCACCAGGAAGGATGTACTGTGGATATTTTGCACATTGTGGGATACCTGCTATCAGCTTTAATGATATAGGATTTTAAATGGTTTGATTAGCTCATGCAGTTGAAAACATAAGAT